TGGTTAGTTTGTGTTGCAAGTTTGTCTAGTTCTGTGTGTGTGTGTGTGAGAGTAAGCTGAAAAAAGTCAGTTTGTAGTTTTGTGTTGGTTGGGAAAAAATTCAAAAAATAACGTAAAACTTTGGCGCACGTGTGTATACAACGAATTTCTTACTGAACGCTACACATCATATTGTTTTCACACAAAACTTGGTTGAACATTCAATAGTGTGGCATAACAAACAGGCGAAGAGTGCAGAAAACACTCTCTCTCTGTCTGTGTAAATCGGTAAATGTGTGAGTGTGTGCTTTGTTAAATGGAATACTAGCAGAGCAGCAGTGTTAGCATATTTTAAGGCATAGAAATAAATAAAAACAACATAGAAAAGGTTGTTAGTTAGACTGTTGTTACTACTAGACAAAGATTTCAAAATATTTTTTAACGTTAGCCAGAAAGGACGTGGCCTTTTTGTTGTGTGTGCTCTCCCTATTTTTCAAATAAACGGTTCATATAGTTAAACATATAACAACGTTATTTCAAGTAGTTTAAAAGCTTTCTTTGGCTTAGTTGGTTATTTTTTTGGATTTTATTTTTAAAATTATTTTTAAATATTAAAGAAAACAGAATAAATATTAATTTCATTGTTATAACTTAATACAAATACCAGCAAAATAATAATATTCTAAGAATTTGTACTAAATTCTAGTAAATAAAGTTAAAGAGTGTATTTCTGTGTGTTTTTCTTTTTACTCGAGTATTGATCGTTAATAAGTGCAATTACCTGAGGAGTGCCTTTTAGTGTTTGCTTTTAGGCGCAGGTCTTTAATTTAGCCTTAATATAGGCAAACATAAAAACAACAACAGTATAAAAAAACTTCCACAAATTCTTTAAAGTTGAAAATGAAACTCATCGCAATAGCCATGTGTGTTAGTTACACTTTAGAGTTAGTCAGTGATTGTTGTTAAGGTTTTTCGATCAAACTTAGCCAGTAACAATAGTGTTTTCTTTTTTCTTAATATGACACTGCACGCACAGTGTCATCATGCCACATACATATATTCTAGAATATTAAGGAAACATTTAATAAAAACCTTGAAAATGCAGTGATTGCATAATGGCTTAAGAAAAATGAAAGTGCAAATAAATATAAAAATCAAAAATAAAATCAAATAAAGTGCCTTTTTTAAAGAAAATATAAAACAGTATTGAAGTTTTTAAAAACCTAAAAGTATGCTATAAAATTAATTAAAAAAATATATAAAATTAAAATAAATAATTTTAATTAAATTACAAACAAAAAAACTATAAATTTATGAATTAAGCGCTACTTTAAAATATGCCACAATTTTTTCATAAGAAAATAATTTTAGCCCAAAGTTTGCCATTAATTTTATTAAAAATTTGCTTTGTTTTATTTAATTTTTGAATATTTTTTTCTATTTAATTAATTCCAATAAATAGTTAATTTATTTTAAATTATTTCACATTAGTTAAAATATTAATAAAAAATATTGTCATAACAAAGATAAAATATTAAAAAATATGAATTAAAAAAAAAAAAAAAACAAAACAATCGACTGTGATTCACTATAGTGTATTTAAACTTTTTAAAATTTAAAAAAAAATATTTATTTACATATATATTAATTTTTAAAAATATGGAATTTTTTGTTAGTTTTTTAGTTCAGTTCTAATTCAGTTCTAGTTCAATTCTAGTTCTAGTTCAGTTCTAGTTCAGTTCTAGTTCAGTTCTAGTTCAATTCTAGTTCTAGTTCAGTTCTAGTTCAGTTCTAGTTCAGATCTAGTTCAGTTCTAGTTCAGATCTAGTTCAGTTCTAGTTCAGTTCTAGTTCAGTTCTAGTTCAGTTCTAGTTCAGTTCTAGTTCAGTTCTAGTTCCGTTCTAGTTCAGTTCTAGTTAAGTTCTAGTTAAGTTCTAGTTCAGTTCTAGTTCAGTTCTAGTTCAGTTCTAGTTCAGTTCTAGTTCAGTTCTAGTTCAGTTCTAGTTCAGTTCTAGATCAGTTCTAGTTCAGTTCTAGTTCAGTTCTAGTACAATTCTAGTTCAGTTCTAGTTCAGTTCTAGTTCAGTTCTAGTTCAGTTCTAGTTCAGTTCTAGTTCAGTTCTAGTTCAGTTCTAGTTCAGTTCTAGTTCAGTTCTAGTTCAGTTCTAGTTCAGTTCTAGTTCAGTTCTAGTTCAGTTCTAGTTCAGTTCTAGTTCAGTTCTAGTTCAGTTCTAGTTCAGTTCTAGTTCAGTTCTAGTTCAGTTCTAGTTCAGTTCTAGTTCAGTTCTAGTTCAGTTCTAGTTCAGTTCTAGTTCAGTTCTAGTTCAGTTCTAGTTCAGTTCTAGTTCAGTTCTAGTTCAGTTCTAGTTCAGTTCTAGTTCAGTTCTAGTTCAGTTCTAGTTCAGTTCTAGTTCAGTTCTAGTTCAGTTCTAGTTCAGTTCTAGTTCAGTTCTAGTTCAGTTCTAGTTCAGTTCTAGTTCAGTTCTAGTTCAGTTCTAGTTCAGTTCTAGTTCAGTTCTAGTTCAGTTCTAGTTCAGTTCTAGTTCAGTTCTAGTTCAGTTCTAGTTCAGTTCTAGTTCAGTTCTAGTTCAGTTCTAGTTCAGTCTAGTTCAGTTCTAGTTCAGTTCTAGTTCAGTTCTAGTTCAGTTCTAGTTCAGTTCTAGTTCAGTTCTAGTTTAGTTCTAGTTCAGTTCTAGTTCAGTTCTAGTTCAGTTCTAGTTCAGTTCTAGTTCAGTTCTAGTTCAGTTCTAGTTTAGTTCTAGTTCAGTTCTAGTTCAGTTCTAGTTCAGTTCTAGTTCAGTTCTAGTTCAGTTCTAGTTCAGTTCTTTTCAGTTCTAGTTCAGTTCTAGTTCAGTTCTAGTTCAGTTCTAGTTCAGTTTCTAGTTCAGTTCTAGTTCAGAATTCTAGTTCAGTTCTAGTTCAGTTATAGTTCAGTTCTAGTTCAGTTCTAGTTCAGTTCTAGTTCAGTTCTAGTTCAGTTCTAGTCAGTTCTAGTTCAGTTCTAGTTCAGTTCTAGTTCAGTTCTAGTTCAGTTCTAGTTCAGTTCTAGTTCAGTTCTAGTTCAGTTCTAGTTCAGTTCTAGTCAGTTCTAGTTCGTTCTAGTTCAGTTCTAGTTCAGTTCTAGTTCAGTTCTAGTTCAGTTCTAGTTCAGTCTAGTTCAGTTCTAGTTCAGGTTCTAGTTCAGTTCTACGTTCAGTTCTAGTTCAGTTCTAGTTTCAGGTCTAGTTCAGTTCTAGTTCAGTTCTAGTTCAGTTCTAGTTCAGTTCTAGTTCAGTTCTAGTTCAGTTCTAGTTCAGTTCTAGTTCAGTTCTAGTTCAGTTCTAGTTCAGTTCTAGTTCAGTTCTAGTTCAGTTCTAGTTCAGTTCTAGTTCAGTTCTAGTTCAGTTCTAGTTCAGTTCTAGTTCAGTTCTATTTCATTTCTAGTTCAGTTTCTAGTTTCAGTTCTAGTTAGTTCTAGTTCTAGTTCAGTTCTAGTTCAGTTCTAGTTCAGTTCTAGTTCAGTTCTAGTTCAGTTCTAGTTCAGTTCTAGTTCAGTTCTAGTTAGTTCTAGTTCAGTTCTAGTTCAGTTCTAGTTCAGTTCTAGTTCAGTTCTAGTTCAGTTCTAGTTCAGTTCTAGTTCAGTTCTAGTTCAGTTCTAGTTCAGTTCTAGTTCAGTTCTAGTTCAGTTCTAGTTCAGTTCAGTTCTAGTTCAGTTCTAGTTCAGTTCTAGTTCAGTTCTAGTTCAGTTCTAGTTCAGTTCTAGTTCAGTTCTAGTTTCAGTTCTAGTTCAGTTCTAGTTCAGTTCTAGTTCAGTTCTAGTTCAGTTTCTAGTTCAGTTCTAGTTCAGTTCTAGTTCTGTTCTATTTCAGTTCTAGTTCAGTTCTAGCTCAGTTCTAGTTCAGTTCTAGTCAGTTCTAGTTCAGTTCTATTAAAAATTTCTTTAAGAAAGAACTGTCCCTTGATTTATGCAACATCTTATTTGCAGTTCAATAAAAAAAGTTTTATAAAAATCTTCCAGATTATTGTAGCTTTTTTAAATTTTAACTAATTTAATTTTTAAAGATTTTGAATATTCAACAAGGCCTAAAAAGTTAACACCATTTAAAAACGAATAAAAAAAGGTTTACAATACGCAAAATATCCCCTGAGGTATGCACTTAAATAAATGAATTTAATTGTTAAACGAATTAAAAAGTAACAATTTATAAAACTAAACATTTTGAAAATGTTCAAAAAATGTATGGCGAGTTATAATATGAAATGATTTTTTTCATAGTTCCACAATATTTTCAAAAATTTGCGTTAGAATATTTAATCTCCCCAAAGTATGCAATAAAAAACGTAAAAATGCTTTAATTTCATTAAATTTAACTTTAGTTTAGTCACCGTTTCATGTCATTTTATTGTAACATTTTATAAATTATAGTTTATTTGATTTGAATTCGTTGGACACGCCAGCTGACAACAGGACATTTAAATCCTCAGACACACAGTCAGTCATAAAAATAATACTTAGACAAATTACTACGCAAATAGACAGACAAATTAAAACAAGTAGAATAAAAAATGAATTGTAGTGAAAATATAGTTAAAGCAAAAAACAAGCCTAACTACATAATTTTAACCACAAAAAATAGAAAAAATAAAAATCGCTTTAAAAAACTTTTCTTGGACCGAACTAGAACTGAACAAGAACTGAACTAGAACTAAACTTGAACTCAACTAGAACTGAACAAGAATTGAATTAGAACAGAAACAGAACTTTTTATGGTCATAGCATCAAAGTATGCAGCATTTTTAATAAATTAAAACTCCTTAAATTATGCATTAAAATATTTATTTTAATAACAAATTAAAAAATGAATAAAACAACTAATTCAAACAATGTTTTTTATTTAAAGTTGTAGCCTTAAATTATGCAGCATTTTTAATAAATAAACAAATCCCAAAAGTATGCATTAAAAAACATTTTTTACTAAAAAATATTAAGTTATAAAAGAAATTAAAAAAAATTATTTCTAAATTATATAAACAAATTAATAACAACAAAACATATCAGACAACAAAGTATAAAAAATTAATATAAAAATCGATTTTTTTTTTTTTTTGTAACAATGAAAAAGAAAAATTAATTAAAATAAACAAATAAAAGAAACGAAAACGGAAACAACCGTAACAATTGAAAATAAAAAAGAAAAATGTCACTTAAACGTTTTGCCATGTTGGCAGCAATATCGTATCAAAATCAGCAAAATTATAATAACAATAATAACAACAACAGTAACAACACTAATTACTATAATAATAATAACAACAACAATAGCACTTATAATAAAAATGAAACTCAAACAACATTTGCAACCACAACTACAACCGAATCAGCTACAACAAAAATTATAAATAGTAACAAATCAACATTGATACAATTGAAACAACAGCAGCAACAACAATCACAACAAATAATTGCAGCAACAACATCAAAATCTTCTTCATTAACTCCTTCAATTCATCATAATGATAAAGCAAATGCTACGACCTCCATACATAGAAATGATAACCATCATCATGAAACTGATGACACCAGCAATGGTATTTCTGATGATGACTCTTCGTCCAATTATAGCAGTGAAAGTAGTGAAATTTTAGATTTTAGTCAACACTCCTTACCGCCTGAACGTCAGCCTTCTAATACTTATACCAGTACCACTTACTATGGCAGTGGTTTCGGTGTGTTTCATCAACAGAACATACGTTCGAATGGTGGTGGTATTGCTCTGATAACTGGAAGTAGTTCTAGTAATGGTCTCGGCAGTGGATCTTATTCGAATGGCATCAATAATAATGTGAATTTATTGTTGGGAGGGTAAGTTTTAACAACTTAAAAATAAAAAAACAAATACACAAAATTCCAATTTCAAATAGTATGGACTAAAGATTACTCTATAGATCACTATATAGTCTGGATTATAGATCACTCTATAGTCTGGACTATAGAACACTCTATAGTCTGGACTATAGATCACTCTATAGTCTGGACTATAGATAATTCTATAGTCTGGACTATAGATAACTCTATAATCTGGACTATAGATAATTCTATAGTCTGGACTATAGATAACTCTATAGTCTGGACTATAGATAACTCTATAATCTGGACTATAGATAACTCTATAGTCTGGACTATAGATAACTCTATAGTCTGGACTATATATAACTTTATAGTCTGGACTATAGATAACTCTATAGTCTGGACTATAGATAACTCTATAGTCTGGACTATATATAACTCTATAGTCTGGACTATTGATCACTCTATAGTGTGGACTATAGATAACTCTATAGTCTGGACTATAGATAATTCTATAGTCTGGACTATAGATAACTCTATAGTCTGGACTATAGATAATTCTATAGTCTGGACTATAGATAACTCTATAGTCTGGACTATAGATCACTCTATAGTCTGGACTATAGATAACTTTATAGTCTGGACTATAGCTCACTCTATAGTCTGGACTATTGATCACTCTATAGTCTGGACTATAGATCATTCTATAGTCTGGACTATAGATCACTCTATAGTCTGGACTATAGATCACTCGATAGTCTGGACTATAGATCACTCGATGGTCTGGACTATAGATCACTCGATGGTCTGGACTATAGATCACTCTATAGTATGGGCTATAAATCACTCGATAGTGTGGACTATATATCACTCGATAGTGTGGACTCTATATCACTAGATAGTATGGACTATATATATATGATCACTCTATAGTGTGGACTATAGATAACTCTATAGTCTGGACTATAGATAATTCTATAGTCTGGACTATAGATAACTCTATAGTCTGGACTATAGATAATTCTATAGTCTGGACTATAGATAACTCTATAGTCTGGACTATAGACCACTCTATAGTCTGGACTATAGACCACTCTATAGTCTGGACTATAAACCACTCTATAGTCTGGACTATAGACCACTCTATAGTCTGGACTATAGATAACTCTATAGTCTGGACTATAGATAACTTTATAGTCTGGACTATAGATAACTCTATAGTCTGGACTATAGATCACTCTATAGTGTGGACTATAGATCACTCTATAGTCTGAACTACAGATCACTAGTCCGGACTACAAAACACCCTATTCTGGACTGTAGATCACTCTATATGTGAACTATAGATTACTCTATAGACCGGACTTGTGAACTATAGATTACTCTATACTCTATACTGGACTACAGATTACTCTATAGTCTGGATAATAGATCACTCTATTGGCTGGACTCTAGATCACTCTACAGTCTGCACTATAGATCACTCTATCGTCTGGACTATAGATCAAAAGTCTGGACTATAAATCGCCCTATAATCTGGACTATAGATCACTCTATATTTCGAACTATAGATTACTCTATAGACTGGACTATAGATCACTCTATAGTTTGGATAATAGATCACTCTATTGGCTGGACTACACTCTATAGTCTGGATTACAGATCACTCTATGGTCTGGATTATAGATCACTCTGTAGTCTGGACTATAGATCATTCTATAGTCTGGACTGTAGATAACTTTATAGTCTGGACTATAGATCACTCTATAGTCTGGAATATAGATAACTCTATAGTATTGACTATAGATCACAGTCTGGAATATAGACCGGACTATAGATCACTCTATAGTCTGGATAATAGATCACTCTATTGGGTGGACTATAAATCACCCTATATTCTGGACTATAGATCACTCTATATTGTGAATTATAGATTAATCTTTACTCTATACTGGACTACAGATCACTCTATAGTCTGGACTATAGATCAGTCTATAGCCTGGCCTACAGATCACTCTATAATCTGGACTATAGATAACTCTATAGTCTGGACTATTGATCACTCTATAGTCTGGACTATAGATCACTCTATAGTCTGGACTATAGATCACTCTATAACCTGGACTATAGATCATTCTAGAACTCTATGGAACTATAGATCATTATATAGAACTAAAGATCACAATATAGTCTGTATTATAGATAATAATAGATGACACTACAGTTAAGCATATGGTCTGGAAATTAAATCAGTCAATGTATATCTATAGACCAGAATATAGAGTGATCTGTAGACAGGACTTTGGTGCTGACTATAGAGGGATATATAGTACAGACTATGAACTGGTCTACATTCCAATGTATGAACTGAACAATAACACAGACTAGATATAACCCTAAATGTTAATGCAGACTATAGACTTAACTAGATAATATTACCATGTTACTGTACGTTTATGAATTTGTACATTACAGTCCTTTATATTAAAGTGCATTTGTACTTTATTTCTAAAAGAAAAAAAACATTTACATTTAGTTATAAAATAATAAAACAACAACATTAAACATAATTTTAACTTAATTGAAATATATAAAACAAATAATAGAGACTAAAATTATACTGTTGTATATTATTCAATCATATTTATATTTACAATGTCCTGTTTGTCCTTTCATGTCACTCACAAACACTCAGTCTGTCAGTCAACCATCTAGCCAACCATTTAGTCATTTATTTGATTTTCTTGTATTTTTTATTTAACAACAAGTACCTACAAGATACAATGTGAATATAATAGAATTTATTTATTGTTTTTTTATTATTATTATTATTCATATTTATTTTTTTCTTTCTATTTTTAGTGCCATGTTAACATTGATTACCACCATTTTGTGTGTTGTCTGTTACTGTTGTCATCGCAACATTAAAAAACGTACCGAAGCCGCGTATCGACAACAACGTCAGTGGTTGGAAAATGATCCAAATATGGAAATTTATAGTGTGGAACAGGTGAGTACTGTATTAAAATGAAATGAAATGTATTTATTAGTAGCGAAGTGTGACAAGTGAGAAAGAGTCAGATATAGTATTTGCATATTTTGAAATAATAAAATAAAATATTGACTTATGTTAAGGATCTGGGTGTGAGTTTAAGAGGTGATTTTTGTTTTAAGGTTCTGAAAGTGGGCAGTATAATAATGTTGTGGAAAATGTTTTCTAAAAGAATTTTTTTCTTACGATTCATTAAATTGTAAAGCTTATTTTGTAAAACATTTATTATAGAGTTATCTATAGTAACGTATAGACTGATATATATTCTCTTTTACAGAGTGATGTATAGTCTCGACAATGGACTGTCCTATAGTTTGGACTATAGACTCATCTAAAGTCTCTATTATTGACTGATGTATAGCCTCGACTAAAGACTAGTACATAGTCAAGACTATAGACTGAAATAAGTCGATCTATTGTCTAGAATATAGGTTGATCTATTTTCCATAATGAAGAGTGATCTATTGTCTCGACTATAGACTAATCTATATTGTCAACTGTATATAATTTGATTATGTCCTCGACTAAAAACTAGTCCATTGTCCCGGCCATAGAATGAAATAAGTTGATCTATAGTCTCGATTATAGGTTGATCTGATGTCCAGACTATAGACTGATCTATAGTCTCGACTGTAAACTGATCTATAGTCTCGACTATAGACTGTTCTATAGTCTCGACTATAGACAGTTCTATAGTCTCGAATATAGACAGTTCTATAGTCTCGACAACAGACTGATCTATAGTCGCGACTATAAACTATTCTTTATTCTCGACTATAGACTATTCTATAGTCTCGACTATAGACTTATCTACAGTCTCGACTATAGACTTATCTACAGTCTCGACTATAGACTTATCTACAGTCTCGACTATAGACTTATCTACAGTCTCGACTATAGACTTATCTACAGTCTCGACTATAGACTTATCTACAGTCCCGACTATAGACTGTTCTATAGTCTCGACTATAGACAGTTCTATAGTCTCGAATATAGACAGTTCTATAGTCTCGACAACAGACTGATCTATAGTCGCGACTATAAACTATTCTTTATTCTCGACTATAGACTATTCTATAGTCTCGACTATAGACTTATCTACAGTCTCGACTATAGACTTATCTGTAGTCTCGAATACAGACTGATCAATAGTCTCAACTAAAGATTGATCTATAGTCTAGACTAAAGATTGATCTATAGTATCGACTATAGACTGATCTATAGTATCGACTATAAAGTATCTATAGTCTTGACTATAGACTGATCTATAGTCTCGTCTATAGACTGATCTATAGTCTCGACTAAAGACTGATCTATAGTCTCGACTATAAACTGATCTATTGTATCGACTATAATGTATCTATAGTCTTGACTATAGACTGATCTATAGTCTCGTCTTTAGACTGATATATTGTCTCGACTATAGACAGATCTATTGTGTCATCAATACATTAATCAATACATTGAGCTATAGTATCGACTATAGACTGATCAATAGTCTAAACTATACGCCGATCTATTGTCTCGGCTATAAACTGATCTATATTCTCGACTATAAACTGATCTATAGTCTCGACTATAAACTGATCTATAGTCTCTATTATAATCTGATCTATAGTATCGACTATAAACTGATCTATAGTCTCGACTACACACTGATCTATAGTCTCGACAAAAAACTAATCTATAGTCTTGACTATAAACTGATCTATAGTTTCGACTAAAGTAAAAGTAAAGTGATCTATAGTATGGACTATACAATGATCTATATTCTCTGAACTATAGTCTCGACTACATACTAATCTATAGTCTCGACTAAAAACTACTATATAGTCTTGACTATAATCTGATCTATAGTCTTGACTATACTAAAACAAGTTTAATGATTTGATTTTTAATTTATTTTTAATCAAATTTTATATTACATAAACAAAAAGATTAGTCCGAATAATAGTCCATTGACTAGTTTATATGCTAAGCCCTAGTCCACTGCGGAGTTTTTTGATTTCAAAAAGGACTAAAAAATTTATAATGGTACTAAATTTTCCATCTGTGTTATAAATAAACTTCCCCGCTACATAAATATTTCTATTTGCAAATACAGCCTAAAATTATGCTGCAAAACATATTTATGTTCTCTACTTAACACTTATTTTTTATTGTAGTTGTTGTTGCTGCTACTGTTATATTTGTTCTTATTGTTGTTGTTGTTATTATTGTCTACATGTTTAACCCCAATTTAACGCTTCACTCGTCTAATTGCATACAAAGTTGTAACAAAAATGCGAATTGCGAAGTGAAAATGATTATTATGAGCATAAAAATGAAAACTGTAAAATGAGAAAACCAACAGGAAAAAAACTCTACAGAGAATGAAAATGTCAACAACAATTACATATTTATTTTACACTTGATTTTCCTGCGCTACAGGAAGTTTTTGAGTGTCTTTTCATTTCCTTCCGTTTATATTTAAAAACATTTCGTTGACAAACAAATAAATAAAAACTCCTCAACTTGTTTCGTTTGTTGACTTTTTTTTTGTTGCTGTTCGTTTATTTGTTTCAACGAATTATTCTTGTTAACATCTTAATGTCACATTTATTATGATTATGAAAATGTAAGAAAGAAATAAATTTTATGTTGTATTGTACGAAATCACAGAGTAGTATGACTAAAGAAACTCATTTCTTTTATTTTTATCCCCCCAACTCCAGTTTTTGACCAGTAAAAGTATACAAATTTCTCATTGTAACACTTGTTGACACTTAAAAAAAAAGAGTTCATAAAACTTTATTAAAGTTGTCAGATTATGGAGTGAAAGTAATTGATACTGAAATGGGTGGGATGAGTCCGTTAACAAAGGTTTAATATAAATTAATTAACTACTGCTGTAGTTAAATGGTTTCACTTTAAGTGTTTCTGTATAAAGAATTAAAGAAATGCGTGAAAAAGTGTTGTATATTTATAGGCTTAATTTGTAAAATGTTGGTATTTCTTAAAGTGGTATGTTTCATTGTAATAATGCCTACCGTTAGGAGTTTATTGGTAAAGAAAAAGTGTAGCATACTTTGGTTAACAAAATATGTAGCATGTATTTAGGAATGCGGATGTAACACTTGGTATAAAACTTCAACACGCAAAAGTTAAGAAAAAGCGAAGAATATTGACCCTTGCTGCATAGGAAACTTTCTTTAGAAACAAATGAATGTTTCTTCTCCCTCTTTCCTTCTAAAAATAAGTTTTCCATGAAATGATCCATTACGTCAACCAGAAGCGTAAGAGATCGTATGTAAAGCCTGGTCAATCAGCCGACATTTAAGCCAAACATGGAGCTAAGGCAATACTCTCTGTATTTGATGGGATCAAAAGATTCCTATATATTATGAACTGCTGAAATCTGGTCAGACTATCACAGTTAACCTGTACCAAATGCAACAGATAACATTGGACGAAAAATTATCAGAATATGAGGCCCCACATGAAAGCGTAATCATCCAACATGACAACTCTGGATCAAAAGTTGCAATAACCGTTAAAACTTAGAAAGAAGTGATTGGGAAGTTTTGCTTCACTCGTCTTATAGTCTAGATCTTGCTCCGTCCAACTACTATTTGTTTTGATCGATGTAGAACGATCTCCTTGACATAACGCTTTACTTAACCTCAAAGAATAAGAAGTTATTTTGGCGCGGATCACAATATGAGGCCCCACATGAAAGTGTAATCTTCCATCATGGCAACCCTGGATGTTGCAATACCTGTTAAAAACTAATTTGAAAGAAGACTCTTTTCTATATTGCTTCATATAATGACCATCTTTGCCTGATGTTCAGGGAGGCTTAAGGCGTCTGGTTGTTGAAGATCAAGAATATATGAACGTGCACGAATTATAAGCTTTCACTTTCCTTTGTCTTGAACTAACCGTCTTGCATCCACATACGGACTTTGATGTAGGATTAATAAAGTGAACGTTTTTAACAATAGATTCTATATAAATGGTTCAAAAACGAACTGGGGTGTTGGTCTTTTTGTTTTCTGCGATCGTCTACTGAATATCTATAGTGTTTTCCAGCCTGAAATAGTGGCAATATTCGTGGAATTATTGTCCTCTTAGTTAATAGGTCGGCGTTTCTTCTCTTATTAATTTCCTACACATTACTACTGGTCAGACCACGAAAGAATGATCTGCCCAGACTGGGTCCCCGTCTGTTTGACATCATCTAGCTTGGGTGACTGCGCATTGAGATTGCTAAGCCAGTGAGCAAGTGGATGACTTAGCCAGAGCGGGATTAGTGCAACTTTAGTCAGACCACGAAAGAATGATCTGCCCAGACTGGGTCCCCGTCTGTTTGACATCATCTAGCTTGGGTGACTGCGCATTGAGATTGCTAAGCCAATGAGCAAGTAGATGACTTAGCCGGAGCGGGATTAGTGCAACTTTAGTCACAGTTCCTCTGGAGTCTATTAAAAGTAATATATTCCAATTTTTTTTCCTTCAAAACACGGAGAATAGATGGAAAAACCGGGACACATTCAGAGTCGCGAAGTAAATGTGAACACCTTTCTATGAAAAACGTGCTATGAACCTGGACCATTCAGAGTGACGAAGTTAATGTGAGAAATGGATCTGTTTTGGTTGTCTCTAAAGCAGTTTCAGTAGGAACTCCGTTTATCAAAGTACTACCTTCAGTCTCTTTCATCAAAAGGCTAAAAACAGGTGTAAGAAACTGGACACATGCCGAGTGGACAACATATTTGGACTCTCTTCCTATTAAAAACCCACTATACAACTTACTACCCATAATAGTCGGGACATATTGAAGTTGCTGACTATAATATCTAAAAATTGGGTTCTGATAGACAAGCAAGTCGACTTGGACTCTACTTCAATGAAACATGTCGCATTTGCAATAACAGAGAGAAAAAGAAACGTTCACCTTATCTGCAAATGACCCGCCCTATCCACCGAGAGAAATAGGTGTCTTGGCAATTGCACTGTATCCAACCTTGCTGAGTTACTTGGGTCTAAAGTTGATGATCTACTGATACACATATCTCACGGCTACAGGTTAGATCTAATAATCCTCATCTGAAGAGTAGTGGGGTCATGTTTTATCTTAGTGCCTTTGAGACTTATTGACTATTTGGGAGTAGTGAACTACTAATTTGGATTACGTCAATGGGAATGACATCATTAGTTTGTATATGAGTCAAATTATTGATATAACTCATCTATCCAAGTACAGATGTGACCTTAGAACCAGAATCCAGTGGTTGTGTTTAATATTATTATTTTCTAGGTTAATGAGTATTAAGATCAACTTTCAATCTACATGACTTGAACATTTACTTCCTTCCTAGTTATATAATTTCCCATCCTTTTTGTTCTATTTCCAGTGCTACGAAACATCCGGTCTCTTTGTGGGCGATTCTATGGATGGTTTGGCCACAATACCAGCACTTCATCATGAACCACCACCCTCTTACGATGCTGTGGTAGCAATGCAAGAACAACAGCAACTACTAATACAACAACATCAACAGCAATTATTGATGCAGCAACAATTGTTGCAACAACAATTGCCTACAAATAATTCACCACCACCTGGCTATAGATCATCATTAGATGTTAGTTCCATAATACAGGGTAGGGTGAATGCACTGGGAGGAGTCTTGGGTGTGGGTGGATCTATTATAAGTGGCATGGAAATTAATTCTTTGGCTTCATCTGATGCTAATATCAGAACAGCTACTAGTCATTCTCCTATAGATCCTTTGCTAAACTATAATGATGTCAATGGTAATATGGCAAATGCCTTAACCGTAGCCACTACAACTCCCACAAATAATCGTGCAACTGTTAGCTATTTACGCAACAAACAGCAGCAGCAGCAACAACGAAATGTTGGGCCTAATCAATTGAGTCAGTTGAATATGAAAAAGGTGTTGCAGGCTCAATCCTGCTGTTCACTACAACGAGCCGAAGTGGAAAATATGTGGAATGCAGCAGCAGCAGCTTTAGCAGCCAGATCTGCTCATTTACCCAGCGAGTCGAGGGCTTCAACGACAGCCTCTACTAGTTCACCTACTTTAGCCATGAATGCCCGCAAACTATCACAGGGTTATAACACCTCCAAATCGAATACACCCGAAACATTTGGCAGTCGTTATCTTAAGCAAAATTACTATAGGCGTGGCTGTCCCTTGTGTGGTAAATTTCGTTACGATAATGATTCAATACTCTCCATATCAATGGAAAGTAATTTAGATACATTAGCAGGTGCCTTAGCGGAAGAACAGGCGGCCACAAATGGGCAGGAGGGAAGCAGTGAAAGCACACAAAATAGTTTGAATAATAACGACAATTTAACAAATAATTTACATGAAAAACAACAAAATGCGAATGAATGTACGAATGAAACAGATGATATTGAGGAGGCCGATATAGAGGATGAAGTCGATGACAATGATAATGATATAGAACAACAATGTTCATGTGCGAATACAAAAAGAAAATTTAAACAACAAAATCATTATCAAAAAGTTAACACACAACAGGATAATACAGAAGAGATAGAAGAATCTTTGCAACAGGTGGAAATCACTGTTCCTGAACTAATACCTAATAGAGAAGAAGCTACAGCAACTGCTAACATGCCAACAGCAGATGCTAATGCCAATTGTGCAATAGCAACAGCAAGACAATCAACATATCAAGACCCCTCTAATCATAACAATAACAATAATAATGATAATGATATTTTAGAAGATTCCTTGCCATCTACATCAGCCGCAACGGCAGTCACGACCCCACACATAGTAGCCTCTACTTCCTCCGATGCTTCAACACCAACCTCGGTAACCATTAATTTGGATTGTATCAATGAGAATGGCATCATTAGTTTGGATATGAGTAAAATTATTGATAAAACTGGTCTACCCACCTATGATGCAGCCTTAAAACTAGAATCCAGTGGTTACGTTTGATAATTTTGAATTTGGAAATTTACTTTCTTAAGAAAAACACACACACACACAAAAGTGCTTTATAGTATTAATGGGATAAGAGGATATTTGAAATATTTGAATAAAATGATAATAAATAATTTAAAATAAAGATGAAATTTATGAAATTACTAATAAGACATTATTAAACAATTTCTATGTAAGTTATAACGTAGGTTATTACCCCGTTATTACCAAGTTTTTTAATCGTTTTAATAATCATTTGAGCATACAAATGAATTCAACACAAAATTTGTTTGCGATTTCGAAAAAGATCAATTAGAAGTTTACTTATTAGTTTTTGCGATCTTATTCATCATCTTACCTTTAAGACAGCTATAATTTTAGTTTTAAATTTCGATTTCTTACCTGAAAATAAAATAAAAAGAAAACATATTAAAAATCTTTAAAAATTTTCGATTAATTGGATTGATATTTTCAATTTACTGAATTGATATTTGCATTAAAAAGAAAATTTTATTTAAAATTAACTGTAAAAGAATTTGACCGAAAATTCTGTATAAAACGAGAATCTAAAAAAATCTCAGTAGATAGAGAATTTTATTCTCTGAAGAAAGATAATCTGAACTAAAATTCTCTACAGCAAGAGAATTTGAACTATAAAACGAGAATATGAACGAAATTAGAAAGATAACTTTATCTACAGTTGTCTATAAAAGAAGAATTTGACCGAAAAACGTAAATATAAACAAAAATTCTCAATAGATAGAGAATTTGATTGAAAATTCTCTACAGAAAGAGAATTGAACTTTAAAACGAGAATATGAACGAAATTAGAAAGATAATTTTATCTACGGTTGTCTGTAAAAGTAGAATTTGACCGAAAATTTTCTATAAAACCAGAATCTTAACGAAAATTCTCCATAGATAGAGAATTTGATCGTACATTTTCTGTAGAAAGAAAAACGGAAGAATACTCTATCAAAAACTCTGTTCAGAAACAGAACTTGTTGGAAAATTCTCTAAAGAAAGAAAATTTAATCAGAAATTCTCTATAGAAAGTGAATCATATTAACAAAAATTCTCTACAGAAAAAGAATTTCATAGGAAATCTTGGCAGAAAGAGAATTTTATAGACTATAGACTAGACTATAGACTAGACTATACACTAGACTATAGACTAGACTATAGACTAGACTATAGATTAGACTATAGACTATAGATAGTCTAGTCTATAGTCTAGTCTATAGTCTAGTCTATAGTCTAGTCTATAGTCTAGTCTATAGTCTAGTCTATAGTCTAGTCTATAGTCTAGTCTATAGTCTAGTCTATAGTCTAGTCTATAGTCTAGTCTATAGTCTAGTCTATAGTCTAGTCTATAGTCTAGTCTATAGTCTAGTCTATAGTCTAGTCTATAGTCTAGTCTATAGTCTAGTCTATAGTCTAGTCTATAGTCTAGTCTATAGTCTAGTCTATAGTCTAGTCTATAGTCTAGTCTATAGTCTAGTCTATAGTCTAGTCTATAGTCTAGTCTATAGTCTAGTCTATAGTCTAGTCTATAGTCTAGTCTATAGTCTAGTCTATAGTCTAGTCTATAGTCTAGTCTATAGTCTAGTCTATAGTCTAGTCTATAGTCTAGTCTATAGTCTAGTCTATAGTCTAGTCTATAGTCTAGTCTAAGTCTAGTCCAAGTCTAGTCTATAGTCTAGTCCAAGTCTAGTCCAAAGTCTAGTCTATAGTCTAGTCTATAGTCTAGTCTATAGTCTAGTCTATAGTCTAGTCTATAGTCTAGTCTATAGTCTAGTCTATAGTCTAGTCTATAGTCTAGTCTATAGTCTAGTCTATAGTCTAGTCTATAGTCTAGTCTATAGTCTAGTCTATAGTCTAGTCTATAGTCTAGTCTATAGTCTAGTCTATAGTCTAGTCTATAGTCTAGTCTATAGTCTAGTCTATAGTCTAGTCTATAGTCTAGTCTATAGTCTAGTCTATAGTCTAGTCTATAGTCTAGTCTATAGTCTAGTCTATAGTCTAGTCTAGTCTATAGTCTAGTCTATAGTCTAGTCTATAGTCTAGTCTATAGTCTAGTCTATAGTCTAGTCTATAGTCTAGTCTATAGTCTAGTCTATAGTCTAGTCTATAGTCTAGTCTATAGTCTAGTCTATAGTCTAGTCTATAGTCTAGTCTATAGTCTAGTCTATAGTCTAGTCTATAGTCTAGTCTATAGTCTAGTCTATAGTCTAGTCTATAGTCTAGTCTATATTCCTAGTCTATAGTCTAGTCTATAGTCTAGTCTATAGTCTAGTCTATAGTCTGTCTATAGTCTAGTCTATAGTCTAGTCTATAGTCCTAAGTCTAGTCTATAGTCTAGTCTATAGTCTAGTCTATAGTCTAGTCTATAGTTAGTCTATAGTCTAGTCTATAGTCTAGTCTATAGTCTAGTCTATAGTCTAGTCTAAGTCTGTATAGTCTAGTCTATAGTCTAGTCTATAGTCTAGTCTATAGTCTAGTCTATAGTCTAGTCTATAGTCTAGTCTATAGTCTAGTCTATAGTCTAGTCTATAGTCTAGTCTATAGTCTAGTCTATAGTCTAGTCTATAGTCTAGTCTATAGTCTAGTCTATGTCTAGTCTATAGTCTAGTCTATAGTCTAGTCTATAGTCTAGTCTATAGTCTAGTCTCATAGTCTAGTCTATAGTATAGTCTATAGTCTAGTCTATAGTCTAGTCTATAGTCTAGTCTATAGTCTAGTCTAGTTCACGTCTAGTCTAGTCTATAGTCTAGTCTCTAGTCTAGTCTATAGTCTAGTCTATAGTCTAGTCTATAGTCTAGTCTAGTAGTCTATAGTCTAGTTATGTCTAGTCTATAGTCTCGTCTATAGTCTAGTCTATAGTCAAGTCTATAGTCTATTCTATAGTCTAGTCTATAGTCTAGTCTATAGTCTAGTCTATAGTCAGTCTATGTCTAGTCTATAGTCTAGTCTATAGTCTGTCTATTGATAGTCTAGTCTAGTCATAGTCTATCTATAGTCTAGTCTATGTCTAGTCATCGCTGTCTTATAGTCTATTTATTCATAGTCTAGTCTATAGTCCGAAGTCTAGTCAATAGTCTATCGTCTAGTCTAGTCTAGTATAGGTTAGTTCTATAGTCTAGTCTATATAGTCTATAGTATAGTCTAGTCTGTTATAGTCAGTCTATAGTCTAGTCTTCGTCTATAGTAGTCTATAGTAGGGTGATCGACTCGATTTTTCAACCGGTTTTTATGCTTTACCAGTTTCGGTTTTTTCTTAATGTTGATTTTTCGTAATATCGAATAACCCGGTTTTTTCACTTTTTAAAAACCGGTTTTCGAATACTTTTATTTGCTTTGTATTCAAAGATTATTTAAATGAAATTTTTAAGTAAATAATAATACAGCCCGTCTAAATTTTAAAAATATTCGAGTCGAGGAACTAGCGTATATTTTTCTACAGCTCCTTTGGTTAAACTTCTTTGATTTTCCTAATTAATTAAAAAAATTTATTTGTAAAATTGGTAACTGTTTGATAAAATTTTATCAATCTTAAGATTATATTCCAATTACAATAATTAATTTACGGCTGAAATTTTATGGAAGTGTTGGAATGCCTATGAAAATTTCCTAAACAGGGCTTTTAAAATAAGCTAGGATTACATAGTACCTTATGTTTAACAGAAGTGTCCCACTTTTTTCCTAATTTTTTTTATATTAAAGAAATAATGTAAATCAGACGACAAGATCTAAAGTTATAATCTTTTAAACTGTTAAAAATCATTTCGGGCCATGTTTTATTAATCAAATTTAAATATAAACATTAAGTTTTTTAAATTAAAATATATTTTTTTTATTTATAATGAAAAACCGGTTAACCGGTTTTTTCTGTATTTGAAAAATATCAACCGGTTTTTTTTAAATGTCAACTATTCGAACTATTCGAAAACCGGTTTTTGAAAAATGTCGAATAATCGATCACCCTAGTCTATAGTCTAGTCTATAGTCTAGTCTATAGTCTAGTCTATAGTCTAGTCTATAGTCTAGTCTATAGTCTAGTCTATAGTCTAGTCTATAGTCTAGTCTATAGTCTAGTCTAGTCTAGTCTATAGTCTAGTCTATAGTCTAGTCTATAGTCTAGTCTATAGTCTAGTCTATAGTCTAGTCTATAGTCTAGTCTATAGTCTAGTCTATAGTCTAGTCTATAGTCTAGTCTATAGTTCTATAGTCTAGTCTATAGTCTAGTCTATAGTCTAGTCTATAGTCTAGTCTATAGTCTAGTCTATAGTCTAGTCTATAGTCTAGTCTATAGTCTAGTCTATAGTCTAGTCTATAGTCTAGTCTATAGTCTAGTCTATAGTCTAGTCTATAGTCTAGTCTATAGTCTAGTCTATAGTCTAGTCTATAGTCTAGTCTATAGTCTAGTCTATAGTCTAGTCTATAGTCTAGTCTATAGTCTAGTCTATAGTCTTAGTCTATAGTCTAGTCTATAGTCTAGTCTATAGTCTAGTCTATAGTCTAGTCTATAGTCTAGTCTATAGTCTAGTCTATAGTCTAGTCTATAGTCTAGTCTATAGTCTAGTCTATAGTCTAGTCCAAAGTCTAGTCTATAGTCTAGTCTATAGTCTAGTCTATAGTCTAGTCTATAGTCTAGTCTATAGTCTAGTCTATAGTCTAGTCCAAAGTCTAGTCTATAGTCTAGTCTATAGTCTGTCTATAGTCTAGTCTATAGTCTAGTCTATAGTCTAGTCTATAGTCTAGTCTATAGTCTAGTCTATAGTCTAGTCCATAGTCTAGTCTATAGTCTAGTCTATAGTTTACTCTATAGTCTAGACTAGTCTAATGTAGACTAGTCTAAAGTACTAAACTAGTTTATCGCTAAACTATAGACTGACTACAGACTAGAATAAAGACTAGATTATATACTACACTATAGACTAGACTATTGACTAGACTATAGACTAGACTATTGACTAGACTATAGACTAGTCTATAGACTAGACTTTACTATAGAAGAGAATATAGACTAGACTATAAACTAGACTATAGACTAGTAAGGAATTTCTTTCTAAATCTCTATAACTAACGAACTTTCGATAAAATTCTAAAAAAATCA